CCCAAATGTCTGCTGTCAGCTGTGCCACGTCACGCTTCTACGTCTCCAACCGAATCCTGCATCTCTTCTGCTACAGATGGTTACGGGATTAGGCCGCCTTTTTAGTGTATGTCTCTTTCTGTCCTATTCAACACGTTACAATCTGCCCGTATATCATAGAGGTGTTTGCGGTTTCACCAAAATATGCTGCGGTTTCTTAACCATCAAATACAGACGAATATGGAATCTTTTACCAGTGGGATTGAGATGCAGTACTGCACCACTACAATTTAGAGACTAGTGCAACAAATGCTTCTCAAAAGGTGTTCGCTGGGTTATGAGCCACATACTGAAAACTTGTCGCATCATTTTAAATCTACCTGACACAAACAACTAAGCACTTCAAATTATCTGGGCATTTTTCCCAAAATAAACTCTTCATTACACTTGATACCATTATATTATGTGCAAAAGCTTTCGGATATATTCCGGCTCTGGCTCATTTTCTCCCCAGTCTTTTTCAAGCATAAGCTTCTCTGAGGATGTGAAAGCAGATCTAACTTCATATTTTCATGCCAGGCTTTCGTTCGGCATTTTGGGTCCACTGTGTATACAGTTCTTTAAACGTCCTCTCAAATTCTCTGTAGATTTATGTGTTTGAAACTTCATTTACTACCGCTGTTCTGTTTTAGCTGGCCCTCAGTAACGATGCTGTAAAATACAGACAAATATATTGAAAAATAGCCCCAACTCTATTTACTCCGAAATGTCGCTTCATTCCTGAAGAAAACACCTGAGTGACACCACAGCACACAGCATAGATGTAAGGTGACGGACTAAAAGATAATGCATGGGATAGAAACAGGCTGAAAGTACTAGGAGAAGATGTCACATTTGTTGGTGGGGACTAATGGAAACCGCCCCCAGCTGAAGCCTTTAGACGTAAGTTTCCAGTGAACAAGTCCTTGATAATGACACCGAATGCCTTTTAGCCAGTGTTATATCCCCAAAACCACCAAGTAATGAGTTATGGCTTCAAAAAACGGTAGTGCCGACAAAAAATAGAAAAATAATGATACAGACGAGCTGCCTATCAAAATATAAGCTCTTTAACCCCCACTATATGCCCAACGTCCTTCCTCTGGACCATGACAGCTCTCTTCCCCTCTTTCTCTTCTCGACGTCACACATGCACATCCAAGCTCATACAGGTTCTCAAATGCAAAACGAAGTCACTGTCCTCAGGTATTTGTAGTGCAGCTTAAACTGGAACATGAGAAAGGTACCATATAAAACTTTGAAGGCATTTCATAAGTAGCCTGTGTCTGCTTTGCACATTTTCGTTTATAATATTGCTCCCCAAAATTCCAAGATAATTATCCCCACCTCTCATACCTCTATGTTTCTGTTTCTCATAAGATTGGCAGTTAATGACCACGGACTATAACAATGCAAAATCAGCATTGAAATAAACTATATATTTTCAATTGACTAACTGACGAACCATCGTTTCTCACCACCTAGAGGTGGAAACATCGGAAGACAATTTCCACCAGAAAACCTGCTCCCCGACCAGCGGGGTCGAAGGTCGAAGTGACCGCTTCAGAGGACGGTGAGTGAAGCATAGGAAGTAAATACACACATTTTCTATCCCGCAGCTGAGATTCAACCAAGACAGCCAGTACTTCTGCGTTTGTAACTGTGAATCAAGATGGAGATCACGTCCGTAAAACTGGAATGCACTTGTGCACATTTGGTTGTATGAAATCAATATTATCAACGTTGCCAAACGTTCTGGCACGGACTTCCTTCCCGATTATCTGAACCACTGCCCTTTTTATCTGTCAGAGAATGTGGTAACAATAACGATAATTTTTTGGATAGCTTATAGTGCCAGTTTTACAAGCATAGTCTTCCTGTCAGTTCGGGGTTACACATACGTAAAAACATAATACATTTTTGTGCAGTCTCGGCCTTATTCTTGGAAAACTGCAGACTAAATGATGAGTGGTCAAGTACACGTCAGTTCACTTCATTTTTTGCAGTTTTCAGTCAGGGTCAAGCGCTTACCTTAGTTTCCGAACTCATTATTTTGGGAGCTTATGATCATGCCAAAATAGTGTCTTCTGGTCCTTCTACTATTGAATTAGTTGACCGTTGATCGTGATCATAAACTACGAAGTGTTCTCTCTCACAGAAAGTGCATCGTAATAATCCGCTGCGACAGTGTGGTAGTGGGGCGAAGGCGGAAACGGGGAAGGGACAACTTCACAGGGATGGATACTTTAGTCATAAAGTGCCTCTGAGGATTTTTATGATACATCTTATGTATTCAAACCCGGGATCTTTTACAATTGACGAAGGACTGTAACTAATTTGGATTTGAGCACATCTATGAGCTTTGATGTTCATCTTTGTGGGAACTGTTATTTCAGGGAAAGGAAGCAACAGTGAGCATACTGAGTGTTTGTGGGGCGCATAGCGTGGCAGGCTGTTGGCTTCAGGCATTCACCCGGCGTCATCCTTGTTGTCACAACGGGGCTGGAATTAAGGGACTTTCCCAAGCACACACCGCTGATTACGGGGTATCTGGAGTCATTCTCAAGGGCCGTTTTGCAATCTATCACCACCGTAGGTCTAAACGCCCCGACCACACACCTTCACCTTTTGGAGAAGGGTGTATCCCTTAAGATCCTGCCATCCGATTTGCTGTTTCTTCTTTGTGTTGCTATGCTGTTTTCATGCCACGCAGTATCTCATCTCCGTCACCAGCAAACTTATATCGTATGCTCATATTTTTAGACTGCTCCTCTACCCAATAAACTAATTTAGTGGCGCAAGTGGGACGTTCAACAGCCAGCTGATCAAAGGATGGTTGCCTAGGCATCATCAAGGTTAAGGATAAATCGTAATGAGAGCGGTGTGGACTCTTGTGTACTAAATGAAATCTATGCACTAGGAGTGTGAAGTGGATGCTTCACCTGTTGTGATAAATGTCGTAAAGGTGCCAATTCGGGAAGTAAAGCAGGAAGAAAGGGCAGCTGTCACCTCGTAGCGGTGACGCGATTCGGCATGGTAAAACTTATTACTCATTGTGTGCCACTGTATATCTGTTTTGGATGAGTTGCCTAGTTGGGTTGTGACTTAAATTTTCTCAGCAGAGTTCTTGTCATACACATACCATTTCTTTATTTAACTGAGCTGGGCATTACTTTGCAACGAAAAACCTCGATTAAAGTTTCAGTCGATACCTGACGCGTTCGGCCTTTAATTAAAAGCGACGGAGGATGTCGTTTTAGCTGTGTAAAATGCAAGGCAAAAAAGAATATTTAGATTGGGTCTCGGGCGCCTCAACTTGTTCAACTTCAAGCCTTTTGCACCTTACCGCACAAGAAAGTGGATCATCAGTAGGCACGGGTTCAAGTTGCGCCGGACGTTCGCATCTCGGTTTCTATCTGACGCGTTCACACCACCAGAAGTGAGAGCACACTGGCATTCGGTGAAACACAAAGGCGCACATGTTTTACCTCATCTGTGAATGCGTTTTGGTGTAAATACACATGAGTCATCTACCTTTGGAAATAATTCGTTTCGCATGATGTGTGAAAGATAAACTCCCAGCATGGTTTTTCAGAGTTTAATGCCTACGGAAAGTCTCATCAAGGTGCAGTGTACCTCCGCAGAAAGTCATTGAAGCGAAGGATTCCATTCTTAATTTAGTCTCAAGAGGTCTATCAGGTGAGAAAGAACTCATTAGGCCTTTAAGTTGCGTTGAACATGCTGTATGTGCTACTTAAGGGAGGCCATATTCAGTCTGGAAATTGTCGGCGAAAAGATAAGGTACATTATATCTAGTAACGCCGTTGGTATCATTTAAATATGACGTAAACAGTGGTGGTCCCAGCACACTGCGCTGAACGAAATCGCTTCGTAGAGATCTAAGAGAGGGGTAACAATTACTGAGCTTCACGCTCCAGGACTGTTCGAGACCAGAACAGTAGATGGCCTTGCATTCTGTGAGATTTTGGTCAAAGACTAAACGTTTGTGAAGCACCCTGTCAAGTGCCTGTTTGAAATCAGAGTAAAGGGTGGTTTTGGACAGGCCACAGTCAGACTTGCTTGCAGCGTTGCCTAGACAGTCAAGGAGACAGGGACCACATGAGCAGCAATGGAAAAAGCCATACTGTGCTGAGGAACTTGGTTAGCTAAGTTTCGGTGTAGTCAGCAACCACTTCGACGATCACCCTTCCCTCAGTTCAGGATACTACTGACGCGATGCTCTGGCCCCACAGTTATCACTACTAGATGTTAGTTTATTTTAGCCCCATCGCAAATGACTTACCACCAACATTTATCTGTAGTAACTAATGATACACCCTTCAGCCTCTGCATTCCCTAACCCTAGTATCCATAATAAGAAGCAACTGTCCTCCATATAATTACCAGTTACATCTACCTTTTCATATGTACTTTTCACTCCTCTTTTTCTCATCCCCCGTCCACCCTGCTTCAATCACTTTTTAGGTAGTGCTTAACACACCTTTAGGTGCTCACAGCGACAGGAGTTGGAAGCTGTTGATTGACCTTATCAGCAGCCTCTTCCCCCCTAAAAACAAGCCAAGCTACAGGTTACAAACAGAATACCTTCAAGAAGCCAATCACTACCTCCAAAGTTGTTAGCAGGAAGACGCAAAGACTTCTGTGACTTTCAAAGGAGTGAAATCGAACAAAAAGAACTGAGCCTCAAGATCTATAAGCGACAGATCAGAAGCTACGAGCCTGCTGTACTCGCATTATTGATGTTGGATGTTGGATATCACACTCCCTGCAAATGTAATCAACACCCAACCACCCGTCGGGCTTACTAGAGCAAGCGAGTGGGTAGACCTACTGCATGAGAACCCACCAAAGGCCTGAAACCATTCCGTAAGACCTATAAGCGAGTCGGAAGAAATACACTAGCTCATAAAATGATATTGGATATTGAACTACTCTAAGACTGGACTCTGAGGCTGGTTCAAGTGTGTGCGTGTAACGTGAAGCGCCATATTTAGGGCCCCCAGTTTTAACGCTGTAAAACTTAGTTCACCCGCTTCCTAGTTTCGAGCTGCAGGTTTATTCGTTTTCTTGTTGTGAGTTACCACTTTTTTTTGTTGTCTTTTGTTACTGTGTGCAAGTACTTTCTTTATACTTGGTGATCCCTCCTAATCAGTACGGCCAGTAGACTGATCACTATCGACGCTGAAGCGTCGGAACTTGCAAGTCTTCTAATCACAAACCACCTCAAGAGTTCCCAGATATTCTGATGACCAAGTAAACCTCTCAGTAGTTTACTATAATCGTTGAGCTAGTATAGTGCGAGTCACTACTGTTAACAGAGGATCATCAAGATAAACATAGGACCAGTCATTACTGCGTAGTTGTCCAAGTTGCCACACCTCACATCAGCAGAAGTAACAGGGAAATAAAATGGAAGATGAAGAAGGGAAACACTGGGTGCACTTAAACATTTTTGGGTAATTCCCGGAATCAGCTTCGGGCGCAGTTTGGAACTTCTGAGCACATCTCCAAAATAAACTATATTTCGGAAAATACGGTCTTCAGACGGTTGATAAACACTTGCAGATCTCGTATACTGTGACTAAGCATCCACGTATACAAATTCTATTCACGTGTTCTGTTTACTACCTGTCATAATGCCTTATTTGTGAATCTTCGGGTGCAGTGCAGACGATTTAGGAAAATCAGTCAAAAAAAAGTAGAAAGTAGTAAAAGAAAGGAAGAAGAAACAAGTGAGTAAGATTAATTATGGCGGTTAAGATGGGGATTGTGTACACATTTGCGCCACTGACATTGCTTCTGAGCCAAATCATTTACAGTCTCCAATCATTGGTTTTTGTTGTCGCATGGGACCCAACATGCTAGTCTGCATTGCCGTACGTGGTTCTATCGAACAGTCAGTTTACAGAGAATACTCCGGTAACGTACTAGTTACACGCGGTGGTTCTAAGCAGAACACCACTGTTGGCTTAGCCTTTAATTAAATTATTTGAAAATATTTAGATCGAGGAAAGAGCAGAATCTTTCGGTGTTGAGTCACAAGTCCAATTTTTAGAGGGAATCCACAAAACAGCCCTAAAGATTGAAGGCCAGGGTCTCACTTATCTATGTATCCCAATGAAATTCAGTCGTTAGTTTGTGACGGGTTGGCCTATCGCCTGACATTGATCAGCGTTTTTACGCCCTGATAGCACGGATTTAGATGGAGGCCCTCTCCTATGTTACCATTCATGCTACCGTAGATTAATCGGCCACTGATAGTAACCTGCCCGGCATAATTGACCTTATCTAGATTTTCCTGAAGTGCTTGCCAGTATTTAGCGTGACTGATCAATTCAATTCATCTGCTGGTTGTCATCACATTTAGTAGCCGCGTTTCCGAACACAGTATCCAAATAAAGTTTGATAATGTTTAGCACTAGGGTTTCTTTTATTGGTATACACGCCTCAGCAGGTTTATCTGAAATTCTCACCAACGAAGTGAAACTATGGGAACATCAGAAGTCAGAAACATTATTTCCTTTCAGAAAGTTCTTACGCGACTTTAGGATAGGACAAGCAACAATGAATTTGCGCCTAATCCCGGGGTTGAAAATCTAAAACACGACACATCATGTACATATTTTAACGGCACGGAGCTAGGAGCTTCGCATATGGAAAAGAATTTGAGCTGTCTAGTTCCTCAGTGTCTAGAAAGTTGTGCCAATTTGGCACTAGCAACTTAGATTTTGAACAATACGACCGCAGATGTATCCACCAGGTTTTAAACAGGTTCATACAACGTCACGTAGAGATCGGAACTACAGTCCTCCTTTGACTCTTATAAAAGAGAGAAGAAATCTGGAACTCACTCGGAGATGGGCTAAATTTGTTGAAGAACTTGGATTTATAAGAGAAACAACTGGTAGTGCTTGATCTACTTTTTCTGGAGTAAAGGAAACTGAGAGGCTTATCACATTCTAAACAACCTGGAATACCCATTTTGTTCAACCTTATTTGTAACGCTAACCCCAAACGAAGCACAAAAGTTAGGCTGCTAAAATAGGTTAGATATCAAGCACAACTTTTTAGTGGTTGTTATTATTTTGAAATCCTTTCCCTGCAGAGGGTGGTCCAAATTACTTGGTCTAAACACTTTTAATGCCAACTTGAAACCATGATGTGGACGTGAGTTCAATCACAAGTAATTTCCTCCTCCATTTCTTAGTCGCCATCTTTTTCGCTGTAATTTTGTACACATTAATAATAACTAAGAAGATTGTTCACTGCTTCTAAACGTGGAACCTAGTTAAGCGAAAGCCTTTCCGTTACCAACTTTTTGAGTAGCCAGCTGACTTTCCCTCTTCTTTCCCCTTTCAGATTGTCGTGCTGGTTGAGTGTTCTACCACCACCAAGCTTACGCATGCTATTTTGAGCTCCCTCCAAAAATATATTTACCAGCTTGACAAAAGCCATAAATAGCTGATCGTTACACAGTAAGTCCATTGTAATTAGTTTAATCGATTTCTTCTTTCATAGACTGTCGATCTCTGGATCTAATAGTTTTTTCTGCAATTGTCGAGCGATTAATAGACAATTCCCATAAATGACTTGCGTGGTTAGTTTTAATTGACAGGCACAACTCAGTCGTGTTGAATGTACACTTTACTTACCGCATTTATTGTTTTAGGCCAAATTTTATGATGACGTTATTGAAGATGTTATTAGTGGTGTTAAAGATGAATTTGTGGAAGATGGCGGTGACGTCCAGATACTTGAAGAACTTAAAAAGGTTTTGCATCCTACTCTTCTCTTCATTTTTGTTTAGCTTTGGAAGTCCAAACTTGCTGAGTCTAATGTTTTCTACCCAGAACCCATTGCAGGCAGTGCCGCTCAGTATTTAAACCTTTTACAGCGTTCACAAGTACAGGTAAGAAATGTTCTTATCATACTACTGATATTTGATTACTTCCTACAGAGACCACGTAAAGAGTAAACCCTTTAAGTTGTAGTTCAATGCTTTTCCATGCATCGTTGGCACGTATCATAATCAGCTACTCAATTTCTGTGTAGTACCTGGCGTTTCCACTTAAGACTCCAAGTTGTCACACGTAGCAGCACCTTACAAGGCGCCAAGACCAAAGCCAAAGAACTATAAATATAATCAAACTCCCAGAAAAGCTACGCAAAATATTGAAGAGATTCAGGCAAATAATGTGATATTACCGGTAATATTGATACAAATCGTTGATGCGTTTGGTTTTCCGTGATCGATTCTGAGCCATATCGCAAGGATTCTTCAGCCATTTTTTTCATTGCCATACTTACCCCGAACTGAGAGTTAACACTCCATCACACAGCTCTAACCAACAACCAGGGACTTCATGTGACAATTCCTGGTCTAAGGTCACTTAGTTTTTCCCTAACCCCAACCCCTCTTGCCAACATATCGAGTCCAGGTAGACGTTGGTTAGGCATGTGTGGTAAACAGCCTGGCCACCTCAGTTGATAAAAGTCAACAACCTTAATTCGTAAATTCAATGTATGTAGGCAGCAGCAGGTGCTTATATTTAAAGAAAACAATGAGCCACCCCTATTGTGTAAAGGCTGATGACATTACCCGGCTACCCAGACCTTAGTAACGATTAATACCCCTGACCCACTGTTTTTAGAAGGTCGAATGCCTAGATCAATAAATCATAGCTCCACTACCGTATTAACATTTCAGGTGAAAGAACCATTTTGTAGGAACAAGGCGCTGGAGAAATAGCTCATTTCTCTTATGTCACTTATCATCAAACAGGTCGCGGTTTCTAAGGTGCACTCAAAATCCTTCCAAAATTAATAATACTCACTTTTACGCCAGTTCTCATAAAATGTGTTGATTACAACTTTGTGTGGCGTCAAATGACGAATTATGTTTAATTTCAAGAGGTTGCCATCTGGAAGATTTAGGAGTGATTGACGGGGTTGTTGCTGAATTCAAATGTTTTATTATTATTATTATTATTATTATTATTATTATTATTATTATTAGTATAGTAGTAGTAGTAGTAGTAGTAGTAGTAGTAGTAGTCCCTTGGGTTCCTAATGGAACATAGGGCTTCAGTAACACGTCTCCAGTGACCTCTGTTCTCTGAGATCTTTTGAACCTGGTTCCATGACAGCCTACAAGCTCTCATTTCCTTCTCGCACGATCTCCTCCATGTCACCCTTGGACACCCAACTCGTCGCTTCCCATTGGGGTTCCACTCGAGTGACTGGCCTGACGCGTGATGTCCCCAGTCGGCCTTCTCAGTGCATGCCCAATCCATCTCCACTTCCTCCTGCATATTTGTTGCGTGACAGGTTCTTGGTTGGTTCGTTCCCAGAGCTCCTTGTTGCTTATTCTTATTATACTGGCCATCTGATCTTCATTAACGAGCCAGCGTAGGTGGCAGTTGTTGATGAATGTCTGTAGTTTGTTGAAAATGCCTTTCGTGACACGCCAAGTCTCTGAACCATACAGAAGCACTGACTTGACGTAGGTGTTGAAAATCCGTATCTTGTTCCACGTGCTGAGTGCAGTGCAGAAGATCTCCACACTGGTTTCAGGCTAATGAACGCCTGTCTTGCTTTTCCGATTCTGACTTTGACGTCCTCGTCTGTCCCGCCTGTAGTTGAAACAGTGCTTCCTAGATAAGTGAAGGAGGTTACTTCCTTTAAGTTTCTCCCGTTGACGGTGATTGGAGTTTGTTGTTGTTGTTGGTGCGGTATCTTCATCACCTCTGTCTTCTCTATATTCACCTGAAGTCCCTTCTTCGCTGCCTTTTCTATCAACTTGTTAGTTTTTGCCTGTAGATCTTCAAGTTTATGTGACATCAGACACAAGTCATCGTTGGCGAAATCCAAGTTTTCTAGGTTCTTTTCCGCAGTCCAGCTAGCGTATCCCCCTCTTCTTGCTGCCTACTGTTTGCTGCATGATCCAGTCGAGTCGACCACTATCAGGAATATCATGGGGGATAGTAGGCAACCTTGTTTCACTCCTGTCTTCACTTCACTTCAGTGGCATAACTGAGCTTCCTATTGTGAATTACTTGGCATGTGGCGTCTTCATATAGTTGCTGAATGAGGCGGATAAAGGTTTGCGGTACTCCGTAGTAATGAAGCAGTTTCCAAATTACCTCTCGGTCGACGCTGTCAAAGGCCTTCTCAAAGTCGATGAAGTTGAGGTGGAGAGTTGACTGCCATTCTATACTCTGTTCTATGATGATGCGTAGCGTTGCAATTTGGTCAGCACATGATTTGTACTTCCTGAATCCAGCCAGCTTGTTCCGGCCGTAGTTTTGAATCCAGTGCATCTTTAAGCCTCTCCAGGATGATGCGGCTTAATATTTTGCTTGGTGTGGGTGGACAGGAGAGTGATTCCGCACCAGTTCTTGCAAACACTGAGGTCTCCTTTCTTCGGCAGTTTAACAAGGTAACCCTTCCAATCGCCAAATACCTTCTCTTCCTTCCACACCTTCTGCAATAGTGGTATGATGTGAGCATGTCTGCTGTTGTCTCTGCGTCTGTTCTCAGTGCCTCTGGCGGTATCCCATCTGGTCCTGCTGCTTTCCCACATTTCAGTAGCTTTATGGCGTTCAAGACTTCGACTTTAGTTGGAGGATTTATGTTCACTTGTAGTTCAGCGGCTGCAGGTGGTATTTCTGGACGAAGTGCAGGTGATGGTGGATTCAAGAGCTTTTTGAAGTGGTCGGTCCATTGTTTCCTCTGTTTCTCTACTTTCGTAATTGAATTTCCGTCATCATCTTTTATTGGTTTCATCTGTGTTGATCTCTTCCCAGATAGCAACCTGGTTATTTGATACAATGTCGTCAGGTCTATCCTACCAGTCTGCAGCCTGTTCTGCTTCACTTGCCAGTGTTTCGTAGAAGTGTCTTTTGTTTTTGCGTGCACTCTTCTTCACTTCTTTGTCCAGTGTTTTATACATTGTGCTCACTTCCTCTTGTCGTTGAGCGTCCTTGCACTGCACTGGTTTATCTTCTGCTTCACCATCCTCCTCTCCCTGCTCTATCAGCTTCCAGGTATCCGTCGAGATCCATTCCTTGTCTTCTTTCTTCTTCCTTCCTAATACTGTTGTGCAGGTTTCTTTCCACATAGCTTTCAAAGAGTTCCAGTGTTCTTCCACACAGGTTTCTTCAGGGATGTTGCTCGATATCTCCCATTTTGTCTTGATGGCTGCCTTGAAGATCTCCTTTGTAGTTTCATCCTTCAGTTTCCGAGTGTTGTACTTGAATTGAGGTCTATCACCAGCTTCCTTGAAGGCTTTTAACTTGATTTGGAAGGTTCCTTGCACTAGATAGTGAGTGGTCTAAACCTACATCTGCTCCTCTTCTTGACCTTGTGTCAAGTAGACTGCGTCTCCATTTTCTTGAGATTGAGTTAAAGTTGATTTGATTTTTAGTGTGTCCATGTGGTGAAATCCATGTTGCTTTGTGGATATCTTTGTGCCTGAACACACTGCCTCGAATCACCAAATCGTTGAATGCACAGAATTCTGCAAACAATTCTCCATTCTCGTTCATCACCTCACCGAGTGCTTCTCGACCCATGGTTAGTTCTCTTCCCGTGTTGTCTCCTCCCAGTTTGGCATTCATGTCACCCTACCCATTAGAATTTTGATATCGCCATCTAGAGTGAGGTCTTGTGCAGTGTTGATTGGAGTTGTCTGTAGAATTCCTCATTTTTCTCTTGCTCTGCATTATTTGTAGGTGCATATCATTGTATGATTGTGACCTTCCTTCCTTTTGAGTTGAATCTTGCTGTCATGATCCTGATCTGAAGGAGATTGGTTCCCACTGCATGAGAGCCTTAGATGCTGTTGTGGACATCATAATAGCCACTCCATAACTCAGTGTGCTCGTGGTTGTCGTCTGGGTGACAATATCGGAGTAGATTATTGATTCTCTAGTTGACAGTTTCGAGAGTCCGCCCCCATTCCATCTGCTTTCGCAGATCCCAAGCACTTCGATGTTATACCTTCTCATCTCTTTTACAATCTGGGCTGCCTTGCTGGGTTCAAACTTCCTAATCTTCACTGCTAGTCCTTTTTATCGAGTTCTAGAGTCCGTACAATTAAACAGAACGAAATTTGTTGATTGTATCATTACTTGAATTATCATCTTACTTGAACAATTTTTAGAGGATACTTCTGTACTGTTTTAGTCTGTCACATATTTACGTCCATGACCCTTAAACTTTAATTTAGGAATGCTCTGGTAAGAAACCATAATCACATCAAAGTTAGCAATTAATTCTGCTCGGAAAGTCATAGAGTAATTAATAATTTATTACTGTGCTATATCAATGAAACAACGTAATGGGTAATTATAATCTACTACAACGCCCAAGTTTTACTCTTACACCAAAGTTTGATCTTGATAGATATTTGTAATAAAGTTGCTCAGGGCAATATGAATAACAGCGATTCCACACAACATCGCTAACTGACCTTAACGCATCACATTCGCCGAACGTTAGGAGTGCACCATGTAGACCAAAGTGTATTTATCGAAATCGAAAGTACATGATAAAATGTCATTGGAGGTTATTTTTGATACATTGGTACTCTCATTTAGGGTCGAGTAGAGACCCGACTAATAGACAGTACGTTAACGTCATTTATATCTATTATCTTGCTAAAAAAGTACCCAAATCAGAAAAAGATTGACTATAATATTTAGGTACTAAGCTTTTGCTAATAACCCCACCATTTCTTTTGTGCTCTTCATGTGTGATATATGTTCACATTGTTTGGTGAGTCTGACCGGTCCTTCACTATAATTTAATAAGTTTGACTTTGAACGTATTCATTCGTCGTTGATTGACGAAATAGATATCCTTAATGAGTGAGACTTGGCATATTCACCTCAGGGAACAGCCTTTTATCAGAAAAGAATTGATTACCAATAGACTGTATTAATAAGCAATCAGGACCAATCAGAGATAACCATATCTTGCTTGCACATTTCCACTACTATATCTATCAGCTTTGATAGTCAACCTGTATCACTATTTCTAAATATTCTTGTTGGTTGGTCGTCATGGCTTTCTCCTCTGACTTGTTCTAGTTTGCTACAGATATCATTGTTTTATTTTATGACTAGATATTTAGCATCTAGAGATCAGTTGGACTGATATCCAGTTGCCACATCTCAGGAAGTATGATAAATATTATTTTAGTGTCATCTTGAATAAACGACAAAGTCTGTATTGTTATGTGTATGAATTATAACTTTAATTTCAGATTCATCCAAACGTCGTCGGTTCTGGGACCACTTCTGCAGGTTTACCAGTGAAACAGTTGGGCACAGTCATTCGAACTGGATCAGAGCAGTCAACAGGAGTGGCACTTCCTGGTTCTCTTGCAAGTTTGAGGTTACCTGTAGCACGTGCTTCATCTGTCGCACTGCCCACTCAAATGCGACCTCGTGAGCCTGTTCAAGCTACACCATGTCTCACATCAGTTATACTACCAGCCCAATCTCAGGCACAAAAGCAACCCCAAACAACTAATATTCTTCCCACCGTACTTAATGCCAATTCTGGTGGCGTCCAATCTAGACCCAATACAAATACGGGTGTTCAACAAGGTGCAACACCTCAACTTGCCACATTACCTTCAGGTCTTACAGGTAAATAAATTGTCTGACTTCTACCAAATATTTAAAACATTTCTTTTCCATTTGGTTTTTTCGAAATTGATCACATGGCGTGATTTACGGGAAACCAGCTAATACTCTTCCTGCATTATTTACAGGACATCTCGTTCAGATCGGTCAGCAGACATATCTTGTCCCCCAACCAATGGCAGCAGTTCGTCAACCAGGTGTTCATTTGGCTGTTCCTCAGTACGTTGGTAATCCAAATATGTTAGCAAACAACCCCAGTGTTTCTGATGCAAAAGCTTTCACTATTTCAGATCTTGGGCAGTTCAAACAGGTAGGTTCCCTTTTGTATTGCTAGAAAATACTAATGTTCTTAAGGTTTCGAGATAACAACCGTAACATAAGGAAAGTTATCATAATCCCACATATATCCAAAGCTTATTTTGATGTGAAATTTATTCCCTAATTATGATTATTGAGTGCCTTTTAGCTTAACTTGACAGACACTTGTAGCTTCGTGAATTGGTCCACGAACCACAACTATGAGGGCTTTTGGTACTACTGAGTTGCTCAATCCTCGTTGAGCGAAGTAGGGTTGGAATGCATTATCCACTGATGAAATCGATTCACATCTACTACTCTAACAACGTGATTGGGCTTGTTTGTCGCAATCACCTAGCGGGCTATACTGACTGTTCTTAGAGGCTCCATTAGAACACAAGGGTCTGTAATATGGTGGTAAGACCAAAACCAACTACTTTTGGTGTGTAAATAACTTTGGCTGTGGTAGAGATCTAAAAGCCAAGTTGTATTGCTAGCTTCATAGAAGTGTGGCAACAGATAATGTTGTTGGTTAATGACTGGAGTCTGATTGACTTATATTTACCAACGTTGTGCATATATATTTACCGTTTATCACCATTGGAATTTTGCAAATTTTATTCGTTATCATTCCATGCACTTTCATCTGCTTCAGTATCATTCTTCCACATAGTTTTTACTTTTATGCCGCTGTCACGTGGCCTTCCTGCCAAGAAATTAATCATCTGAAGTGAAATACGAAACAAACTGGGATGTAGAGCATCGTTTCTGATCACTAATGAATATTTTATCAGATGCTGTTTCCACAATGCCCACAACTTGTATTCCAAGTAATTGCACATCTTAATGTACATTGCATATCTAATTGTTAACTTTTTTTCCTTTTTACTGCTTCAGACGCAGGTTGATGGTGGTCATGACAGTGATGATGAAAAGTTTTGTGATACACCTGTATCACAGTCAATGAGTGTTCCAGGAGGTCGAAAAAATCAAGGCACTGGGCGACATAACTATGATGATAGTGTCTCATCTCACGCACACCATGGTTCAGATCTTGAGGATGATGATGACGATGACGATGATTTAGTTCCTGCTACTCCTGGTTTCACCCCTCACTCATCTGTTTTATCTCACTACAATACTGGTCGTTATGGGATGGATACTCCCAGGGATATGGGTGGAGGTACACCACTTGTCAGTGCTCCACCCACTCCCATGTCTCCCCCGTCTGTATCAGGTCCTTTGCGTCCGTCAAATGTTGGAAAACGGTCTTTGGCTTCAGGTTTACCTACCACTGGGCAGACACTAGCATCAAAACGTCAACGTCTCTCACCAAGTCATGGTAAGAACGTGGATACTGATAACTACGAAGCTTGCGATGATGTCGAAGATGCAGAAATAATGACTAGAACAACAGCAACATCAGCCGACCCCAAGTAAGTGCATTCCTTTTTAATCGTTCTTTTATAGAAGGTCACAGGTGACATTGTAGTTAGTTTAATAAAAATCCGAATATTCTACTAAAGAAGTTATGACATACACAGCGAAACGTTGAGAAAAAGTTTCTGAACGTTTGTTTTCGATTTTCTAAACACTCTGGGATTATATTAAAAACTTACCTATATATTATAGTCACTCGGTAATTTTATGAATACAGTAGGGCACATTAGGTGGATGCGTGACATTCGGTTATTAAATAGGGATGAGTAGTATTCAGGATTTTTCATTGATTTATCGGAATAGAGTGGAAGTGAGTCATAGTAATGATGTTGATGACGATAACAACCATGAATCGAATCAATCCAGATTGTATACTGTTGTTAATGTAGAGATAGTGAGGTTAAGACTGGTGTTGAAGGTACATTCTAAGGTCACTCTTTCTGCTTACTCCTTCCGAAGAATTTGATAAACACGATGAAAATCCCATATCGTAAGGATCTAGAAATGAAGATAAAACATGTAGTAGTGAAGGAAAATCAACAAAACTGGATTTATGAAATAAAATGCTCTGATTGTAATGAACGAGAGACAGCTAGGCGGGTAAGTATAAGAGTGAGGGAGCATAGGCTGTCTAAAACCAATTCCAAAAACCTCAGCGGTGGTTAAAAGGCTAAAAAACAAATCGGCAATCGCGCTGCACTCCATAGAAATGGGCACAAAATTGATTTTGACGAAACCAATGTTCTACAAAAAGGTTTTGGGTCATACCAAGGAAGAATAGTGGCTGGAGCCCTACAGATATGGGCAAATCCTGATATTGTACAATTCGTCTTCCACTTTGTTCAACTATATCCCATCCCATTGGACAGTTAATCAGTGGTCCATATCTGACACTTTGGCAGAACATGCTGACGTAGGCACTCATGGAGAAAGAGTAGTTGTTCTTTTGTGGATGCTTGCCCTTTGGAGAAGTCCTCCCATCTTCGAACGACGTGAAGCGTGTTACACTCGTTTGTTTTTGAAATAGTGGAGAATATTTGTAGCTCAGATAGATGGTCTTAGTTGTATTGTGTTCTCTGAGCTGGGTTATTTAATCATGAAGCTTTGATCGTCTTTCTGGACGACATCAGTATTAACTTCACACTGATGCTAGTGCTGATGATGTCTTCCAGAAAGACGATGAAAGCTTCTCGGTGAAGCAACCCAGCTCAGAGAACACCAACACAACCAAGACCATCCACCTGAGCTACAAATATTCAATGTAAATTTGTGTTGGAAACTATCTTCAAAGCTTTTTAAGGACCTACATTTGTTTATTATTTGGAAGAGCAAGCCATGAATTTTTCACTACATAGTTCATTAATATCGTAGCTGAATGTAAAGCCGTACTTCAAGCGTCTAGATTTCTTACTTAATTGAAGTTCGTTCTTCTAATTATCTGTTTGACAACTAAATCTTTTTGATAATAGCTTTTATACTCATTAATAATCACGTGAAATTTCTGTTCATTGTACTCTAATCAGCATTAGTGAACTAGGAATCGAAAACTATGAAAGTACACCTGATCCAAAAGAAAAGGGTAATCAAGTGAGGCAAAAGCCTAGACAGCGCCCGTCAACAGATAGAAATACAATTAGTCCTAAGAACAGTCGCTCTGCAAAACAATTTTCTTCACCTACCGAGTCGGAGCTTGGCGTACATGATCAAACGGAATTTCTTGAAACAGACCTGCTAAAAGCTGAAGAAGAAGAGGGTGAAGAGGATGAAGATGAGGAGGAACCTTTGAACTCCGAAGATGATGTGAGCGATGAAGAGCCCGAAGTTCTTTTCGAATCGGACAACGTGGTGGTTTGTCAATATGACAAGGTAAAATTAAACAAGCAGTATTGCTCATAGTTAATTCGCTTTAAAATTATATTTTTATCTCAAATGAACAAAACTTGTATTCGAAGGCAAGATAAGTATTTCATGACGTCTCCATTCAGACACAATCATCGTGAAATACTAATTAAGTGGTGTGATTATCCTCGTGTACTGTTTGTTTTTCAACTAAGTAACGTTAGTGAGTAGACACGTTTAAAGACCTTAACAAATAATTGTTCTGATTTTTCTGTCTAAATCGCTGGCGTTTTACTGAACTCCATGGAACAGAGGACTGTTGCATGAACGAATTAGCTATCATTGTGCTCAGCATCTGTAACTTCCATGAGTATTCCCAGTTGTTAAGATTGTATGACTGCAATAGTATTCTCATCATCTGCCACGGAAGTTCTTACTCTGTGCTTACATCTAATGGGATCCTCTCAAAACAGTGAAAATGCGTAAATGAATATCTGGTACTTATCTCCGGATTAGTGGATGCAGAGGGTCGACTGAGGCAGGTAGGTGGAAAAACCTCATTCCGAAAAAAAGTCGTATATATTGGCTACAGGGTGCAGAATGAATAAGTGAAGTACGAATTTACTCTCTTCACTTGGAACCATAGCAAACAAACAAGGTGTGCCACCGCCTTATGGATTAGATCTGAATTCAAAGATTGAATTTTGTGCTAAAACAACATCCTGCTTCAATCTAGGCGCTGGGTGAGTATTCTAACCACTACATAAACCATGTTTATGTAACTCCGCGATAAATTCAAACTACTTAGTTGACCCAGTGTACACTAATTGAACCTTAAAGGTTGCAGCGGGACCTCAATCTCTCATTTTATTTTTATTAACTTGTTTTAGTTACACTTAAATCTGAACTGTGCCGTCTTACCTTTATCGTTATTCCTCTCAAACACTGTTGTGAGAGTGTCTGACTTTGAAGTGCCGAGAAATCATGTAATGCTCATCAAAGCTATCTACCCGTTCCCACGCAGTTGCGTTAAGAGCTTTCGGAGAGTTTTCATCAGAATTGACAACAAATAATGTTATCTGACAGGGAAGGATGCCCACTGTTACCGTTCCCGTTTAACTTCGTTATAGACATATTAATAGACAACCTTAGGTACCTCTTACTTCACTGGAACTGGCCTACTCCCTAGAGGTTATCTGGTTGACTTAGAGTATGCAGACGAGATTATCCCGCTTGGTAAAGACACTGACAAAATGCAGGGTGTTCTGTATGACTTGTGCAGAAACCTGAGTATACTTGGCAGGCGTTTCTCTGGCACCTGTCAAATCTAAGATGAGGCTCCAGGACCTGTCTGCAAACATTCCCAATGTGAGGATTGACAATGAAGTGGTCGGATGAAATGTCTGAAAGTCGATCACATTGGCGCAATGATGCCTCCTAGAGCTTGAATGTTCTGAATAGCCCTCATTTTAAAATTCCTCCTGGGATACATCTTTGCCTATTTTTATACTAATTTTTTCCTATCCACTTGGTCTTTGTATGCCACTGTGGTGTGTGGCAACATGGACCGATGCACTTATGTACAAATTTCTACTTGGAATTTGTGTATCTGTCTGTCTGTCTGTAGCAATATGATAATGTTCGCAATGGACTTATCGCCAATCAAATACAAATATTTGCTTCAGGTCTTGTCTTCAATTGTGCCCTATCTAACAGTAGTGTGGTTTGGCCAGTCGCGTAGACTACTTCACTTACTGGGGAGTCAGTGGTCGACGAAATCACTGCACGAATACTAAAGGCTTGGTTGGTTTTCTCAAAAGTACGACATCTATGGCGTCGCCACGATATCAGACTGTTTATTAAGAGTCGAATGTACTGAACTACGGTTCAACCTTTTCCACTATCTGGCTGTGAAACATGGCGTTTAAAAGGTAGAGGATATGAGATTTCAGATGCTCCACCACCTTCGCCTTCGTAGAATGAACCGTGTATCGTTGTGTCTCCGTGTCAGTAATGTAGAAGTCAGGTGTAATGTTTTAGGGAGAATAGGAAATTCAGTTGATGAGGTTGTGAACCTTCATTGTCTTAGGAGCCAGAGACATGTGTTATGCATGCCTAGTCACCATCTTCCCCATCACACCAGGCTAGTTAAAGTAGATAAGACGTGGTCGGACTGAAACATAATGTTGGTTTTTGAAGTCTGACCGTTGGCTATAGGGTGTGTTGATACCTGTTGACTTTCTCTTTGGGATCGCGTGACGACAGAAGTCAGTGTTTGGAGACTGGAGATAATATGGTTGTGAAAAGTCATGGGAGAAGAGGAAAGAATAAAACAAGTAACGAAATGTGTTATGACGATTTAAATGATGTGTGGATTTATTTGTGCCACTGTGATCGATTCTAAACGACTACACTCGGAATCTCCAACTGCAGATACCATTTGCCGCGCGAGACCCATATGGCAAAGTCAACATTTCTCTAACACATCTCAGACCAATAGCCAAAGGCTTCACTGAGTGGTGTTGAGTTCAGTTCTAGCCACTTAACCTTTCTCCAGATTAGACATTCTTCAAGTAACGTTGTGCATTTGGGTAGTTGGTGTTTAAATGTGTGTAGCACATGTCTTAGCCGCCACCCCTTTGATATGATACATTCTGCTGGAAACGTCATCCAGTAACTTACACTGTGTCACTGAGTTTTATGTCAATCAAATAAACAATCTGATATGAAATAGTACTTTACGATACTGCCCAAGTTTTTCTCTTACTTAGCCACCTAATTGGATAAAGATTTGCAATCTTACTGACTGACATCACTTCTCACTTTAGTATAAACCATAAACTGGCAACATTCGAGGAACTGGTGTTGCCTAAGTACTGTTGGAGTTGTTGGAGATAAGATATTTCATCAGCACACCTTGCCTTCATGACCTTAGTTTAAATGGCAAAGATCAAATGTGCAACACTTCAGTGCGTTCACTCCTACACTACATCTTAGATACTTAACCACTGCTGACTGAAGATATCCCATAACGCTGGGTGTGTGATCACTGCTGTCTCTGGTATTACCTGTATCTAATGGTCACACCATGTATGTAATTCTGAGATTCAGTCTCAAGTGTTTGAATTTCGTAGATGTCTTTCTAAAAGTAAGGTCATATATATATATATATATATATATATATATATATATTATATATATATATATATAATATATACTTGGGTTAGCATACTAGGTGGTTGAGTTTCGTTCCACCTTCAGCCATCACTCAGTATCAAGGTTGTTTCACAGTAGCAACTTTTGTATCGCGTCTCCCTGAATGCGATTCTAAGAATTCCACCATGTAGATGCGCATGAGAATATTATGTACGATTCAGAATGCCAGTCATTCCGTAGTTGCCTCTTATTGTCTCCTATTCTAAAAATATCTGATCGTTAAGTCTTCTTTCTTTTTTTACGTCCATTTTTGTTTTCATTGTCTTATATTGCTTTGTTTCTCGGTGCCCATCTTGTACCGCATTTGTGTTGAAAACAAAGAATCTAATTAACAACTAACAACAATAATAATAGCAATAATAATAATAATAGTAATAATAATAATAGATAATGATCGTGTGCACTTGTTTTCAAAACAACGAGTGTGTAGGGTTTTTTATGTGGAACCAGGTAAGTACCGATTTCATTCTGTATTTTACAGATTATAAAAAGCTAAACACATTTTGTTTAGAACTGACGGCGTTATTGATGTTTTTACTCGTTCCTTTATGAAAACATTTGATATTTTAACTGCAAAATAACAGATGAAAATGACTTCATTAGAAATTAAAAACGTCAGCATAACAACTATCATTTATCCGCTATCCAAGTTTTTTGAAGTGATAACATCTAAACTTGGTTAGGTTGTCTATTTACGTTTCATTGCCCTGAGATTTAAGTTCCTGAAGAGATGTAAAACATTTTAACTTTAACTTATTTGACCACCATACTTTGTGGTGATAAGGCTAGATAAAAGGAAGTTTGTATATCGATGAAAACAAATCGAAATGTCCTAACGACTATTATCTGTTTTTGATATCCAATTGTCACTAAGTTATGTTTTACGCCATTGCCGGTTTCTGGCATGTTGCCATTTCAACTTAAAGTGGCATTCTAGGTTAAAAATATTGAAATAAATGAAGAGATTCATTAAAATTACGCTCAAAGTTACTCTTTTCATACACTATTTGAACGTATTCATGAACGCTAATGTCATTCCGGCAACATTTAGCTCACATGACAACATACCGGATACCAGTAGTGGTTTTAGACCAGTTGACGTACTGTGTCCCTTAGAATGTGATTTAGGTTAATGTACAGTTGCAAAATCCTTCAGTCAAACAGACCAAAAAAATGATAAAAACCGCAAGCAAAGCTGCATTGGCACACGTTGCCGCATATTTTTAACACTGCGCAAAAACAAGAAAAAGTTCAATATATCGACAAAAAATAAATGTGAGGTTCTCATTTTGTTCATATTTTCAGTATCATTACATGAAGTCACTGACTGCAAATTTTAGCAGTTGTAAGCTGGAGCCTTTGTGTATTTTGTTGGTAAGTCAGCGATGCATACTTTCTAGTCATCAGGCCACGGATTCGAGTTGCACCTCATTTCCTCAGCTTCAGGCATTGAAGTAGCAGCAGTAGGCCTTATTCTATAATTATGCCTGTTATGTATTTATAGTATCTTATTTTCATGGTCTCCTTTCTCTTCTGTCTGTAATATTTCGAACCAACCTTTCATTGTTTGCAGTTCTACGTTTTTCTACCCTTTCTCATTAATAATTAACTTTTCAGAATAATTTACAAATTTGCTTGCTTCCTAACTATTTTTTGATAACTTATTTATTAGAGAAATCTCTTAAAAGATCAATTTCATGTAATCTGTGAGTACTGATTGATTTTTCACTAAGACCTATTGAAAATTGTTATAGAAATTGGTTTGACTCAGTTATGATGTACTTTTAGTGTGCCGTTATTCAAAGTACTTTTCAATTTCTGAAGAATAGACTTTTTCTACCTTGCAATCAATAGATTCATCGAGCACGAAACAAGTGGCGTTTTCATCTCAAAGATGGGATAATGTCCATAAATGGTCGGGATCATGTTTTTCAGAAGGCTGTCGGTGAGGCTGAATGGTAATATGAATGGAAAAAAAAGTTTTTAATCACTTGTTCTTTGTTGAGGCATAACATAACAGTGTTTAGTTTCTTCCTCTGAGTCATTCTGTTTAATCATTCTTGCGTATGCATAAAAATATCAACTTTTTGTTGTGGCTGTGATTACACTTCACAGTTATTTGTTTCCTGTTAACCCGAATGCTTTGTAAAAAGGCAGATGACTTATGCAATCTATTCCACCTCTCCATCAAATTTAATGGTATATTTTCCTTATGCAACTACTTGTGATGAAGTGAGAAAGAAGGCGAAGCGTACATTGACTAACATTCACTGTACTGGATACGCTTCAGATTACATCATAGAACTTACCACTACTTGTATTTACTGTCAGCAGCACAGTAATTTATTGTGGTTTGAAAATCTTTCGCTATCATCTCTTCCGTGTGCATCGACTCATCATCTTCCACCAACTCAACCAAATTGAAAAAGTATTTAAGCACTAACTATGAACAAATTCTCAACTTTTGTGCATAACACACTTCTTACTTGAATACATTCTGTCTTGTTGTGATTTCATTCTCTTTTTTGTATTTTTTTAAAACAAAATATTTTCCGACTTTTTGGTGATGATGATGATAATGGCATTGAAGGCAGTGTCATTCTTACCGTAGTATATATGTCGATGCTATTTGTTAGTAGGGTTGTTTGCATAAACATAGTGTTCTGCCCAAAGCGTTGCACCAAAACTCCATTGAATGAAAATAAATTATGATTTTTCATGTTTTTTTTGTCTCTTTCGTTTATGTTAATACTTTCTTTTTCATTGGATGGAGGTGTAGTACGTAGGTAAACGGTGTACTTGTATTGAATGTCTTAACGCTCATCATCGAGCTGTCTACTGGTTGGTTTAATTGTGTGACTGTCAGACAGTAGCTCACGGGTTTGCTGTGGTTTGAATAACTGGATAATATCATTGGAATACACGTATTTGGATGTACTTCAAGACCAGTGCGCGAATCCAACAAAAAGTCATTTAATCGATTGGTTTTGATTAGTATTTACGTATCGTATGTACGAACTCATACTGTTCAGAACTGTGTTAGTTAAAGTTACCACTGTGAACGAATGCACTGATATTGACACCAGTCCATGAGGTCTTTGACCATTGATTTGAGCCGTCTAGAGAGGTATGAACTGCCTAACTTGGGTGGTCGAGACGATAGAAATCGATAGTTAGAGACTGTTAGTTTTGAACATTTTACCGACCTTCATTTTTCAAGTTCTTTCTCTTTCTATATTTGCTTTCGCCTGCTTAGATATCACTCTTCTCTACCCATTTGTTTCTTGTATGCCATGAAGTGTGGCAACTTGATATATATCTGTCCGAAGTTCTATTTTAATTCGTGTGACTTATTTGTTGATCGAAAAGCGTGCTGTGCTCTGAGATTTTCAATCTTTTTATGCAGCTGTGTTCTAAACCCTTTTATGTGGGAACCTATGAGCCGTATATCATATCTTTGGATTTGATTCTATCCCGTCACCAAGGCGTAATTCGGTGTACGGGGTTCAAACTCAAGATCTTAAGTTGGAAGTCAGTTCGAATATAGTTATGTGTAACTTCGTCAACTAGCTTCGGGAAAGTAGTTTCTAGAAATTGTGGTGAATATTCGTAGTCCAGTACGGATAACCATAGTGATTTCTTCTCTGGCCTTGGTTATCCTCCTAACCTTAAAAGGAGACATCTATCCTCATTATCATCTCGTACAAAGTCTTTGACGAAAGGTAGTGAACGGATTATCCTCTCATGCATATCTGCAACGACAGAACTATCTATGTTGTACGTTAAAAGATCCTATTGATCCGACGAGGCAGAGTAATTTAGTTTACGAAATCTGTTGCAACGATTGTGAGGTCAAACTAGTCGTCCTGGGTTAATTGGGCTATCCGAGCACAAAAAGCTAGCTAGATCAAAATTGTTAGATCCCAGTAAAATAAGGGATTTTGAAAAAAGCTTGACATAGTTATGCTTGCAGTTACACATAATAGGATGGGACTGGGAGACACTCTTTAAAACTTACATAACAGAGTGTAGGGAGAGATTGGTAACTGAATCTTCGTTTATCCAGTCAGCACCTAAATACATGCAACAGTAAGGATTCAGCACCTGTTCCGGAAATGTGGAAAGTCCTACTACCTTTATCACAAAGGAGGCAAGAAAACTAGAACTATGTAAAGCATGTCTCAAGGCTTGGAAGTTACCTTGATACGACTATAGACAATAAATTGTATCCGAAACGTAATCTAGTAAACAATACTGTTTCACTGTGTGATACATCTAATAAATCAGCTCAAATGGACGAGCTATCTTGTCTATTAGAAATTCCTCTGCTCATAATCCAATAAATTTGTTTTAGGCCAAAGAACTCAACAACGGAAAGAGATCAACCGAATATCGTTTACAAAGTCGAGTGCGATAAACGTTACGTTGAACAGTTTGATCACCTTAATTTTCATAAACATCATTTAACAATTAAACGTCATGAAATCTCGCCATCAGTGTATATCTATAGCTGTTGCCTTGATTTCGGTTTTGAAAATATAGAAATCTTGGACAGCATATGGGTGTTTTGATTTCAGAAGTTTAGAATATCGTAAATGCATCATTGTTCGAAATTAGCAGTACGCATAAAATATTTTATAAGACAGTTCCGTTTAGTGTGGAATTGTATGAGAGTGAAATACTATCATCATGTCGATTTCTTTTACTTGTTCTGTATTGCTGTCTAAAAGAGGCAATCTAAATAGTAGTGTTTCCTGTATTGCCTCTTTCAATCTATCATTCTGGATCACAGATTCTATCACAAAATGAAGTCTTGTGTCTGATTCTTAGATAACCCTCGAGTTACATTGTTTTCCTTTGATAAGATGAGAATTTCTGAAGTGCTACATCTTCTGTACATTAGACAAATGATTCTCCACATTTTTTGAACTTCTGACCTATGAGATAAATACTACTCAGGATTGTTACATTTTTTGAGTTTTGCTTGTACAACACGTACTGGTATGATACAGTTCAGTTTATTTGAACGATATATTCCCTTTGTTATTCTTAACCCCTATGTTTAGGCGTATGTCCGCGGAGCGGTGTTCGTCAAGGCTACCCACTGTCTCCATTCTTATTCAGTTTTACGATAGATATTCTTCTAGAGGTCTGCCTCTCGTCACCTGACTACCAGACAATGACCTAATCACAGGAGAATTTTTGTTAGACCTACAATACGCAAATGACATAGTCCTGTTAGATGAAAACGTTGACAAGATGCAGAATCTTCTGAACACTGAATAGCAACTTGAGAATGTTTGGGATGCGTTTCTCACCACCGAAATGCAAGTTGCTGCACCAGGATTGATCCTCAACGGTGCCATGGCTAACAGTAGAGAGTGTAGTGGTTGAGTGTGTCAACCACTTCACTTACCTGGGAAGTGGGACCAGCTCTGGTGGCCCAGTGGCCGATGAAATCTCTGCACGGATGCAAAAGGCTCGGTCGGCTTTTACCAACTTATGCCATCGTGATATCCGATTGTCTATTAAGGCTGGCGTAAACTGCATAGCAGTCCGCTCTGTTCTACTATATGGTTGTGAAACATGGCCATTGAAGATGGAAGACACGAGAAGGAGGGTTCAGGTGTTTGACCACCGTTGCCTTCGTAGTGTAGGCCGTATTTCGTGGTGTCACCACATGAGTAACGCAGAAGTTAGGTGTAGAGTTTTGGGGAGAAGAGGTAAGTCAGTTGACGAGGTTGTGAACCTTCATCGACTGAGATGGTTGGGACATGTGTTACGTATGCCTAGTCGCCGTCTGCCTCGTCACACAATGTTGGCTGAGGTGGGTCCAGGCTGGAAAAAGGGTCGGGGCGGCCAGACTAAAACATAGCACCAATGTATGGAGTCTCTGACTGTTGGTTTGGGCCATGTGAGGCGATGCAGACTAGGTGGTTGGGGTCCACGGGACAAGAGGAACCAGTGTTTGGAGACTCTAGGGGATATGGCTCAGAACCAATGTTAGTGGCGCAGGTGTATACACACATTATCCTCATCTTAAAGATGCTATACCGAGTCTCACTATTTTCTCATTCTTCGTTTCTCCTTTTCGTACTTTATATTTCTTTTGACTGAATTTCTTATCTTCATCTTGCACTTGACTGCCTTTTTACTTGATGTGCTGATATGAGGTGTGGCAACTCGGACCGTTACGTAGTAATGCCTGGTCCTATGTTGATAATGATGATGATGTGTCAGGAAATCCTGTCGATCAATGCCAGATATTTCCATCGATTATGAAGAGTGATTTGTATTTAACGTTGGCGAACAGATGTAAAGTAAGCAATTCTTTTCCTAGATAATGGCGTCAGTGTAAAAGGATTGCAGTGTGGGAAAGCACGTGGTTAGTTTCTGTCGAAGAACTGATAAGGATAATGGTGTTGTTGAAACTTTATTGACAAAAATACACTAATCGGCACTAAGTATTATATCAAATCATTATACGAGTAATGACGTAGAAAACTGTAGTAGCTAAATAGTCAAATCCGATTATAGAAAATTATCAACACGGAGGTATGAAAGAAAACACCGTTTGCATTTTAGGACGGAGAATGTTTCATTAAAAAATGGCAATCTGTGTACCAAGTCTCTGTCTACTTTCATTAGCTATACTGAACATGATAGGTTAAGACGGATAGAAAAGCTGAAAGTGGCCAAACTCAGCTGTAACTCATGCATGAAGTATCAGATTCGTGTGGGCAACTGTTAACTTCCTGACAAGCTGGTGATACAACTGAAGATTTTATCCTACATGGGATAGAGTAGCATCCATGCTTTATTTACCAAATATTAATAATTAGTCCGTTACCTTCGTACTAGCTACTATCAAAAAATTATAACCTAATAAACCTTTAGGCAATATTGAGGCATAAGAGCCCATATACCAACTGAGCTCGATCCGGTATAACAAAGGGAAAATTCGTGTCAATAAACATTCCTTTACTTTTCTATTTTTTAGATTTTTAATGACATCATTGGTGGCATTTTTTTCTTCCATCTTGATGGTTGCTTGACATAAATCAAGTCTATACATTGACTAATCACTGGAGAGCAACCAATCCCATTTTGTCTAGTTCTGAGTGCTCAGTATCGTGGTTTACTTTGATGGCTGTTGGTTGGTTGGAGGTAATTGGCAGTAAGCCCTGAACTTAGAATTCTTGTTTGTTGGGACTCGACAACAAGACGTATCTGCAGCCCCAAGGGAACTGTTATCTCCTGTGAGATTCGGACCCACGTCATCCAGTGTTGCGGTCAGTGACGTTGTCATTGAGCTGTTCGGACCGCGACTTACCTCCTGTAGGACTGATTTACACATACTAGACAGCAACCAACCCCATGTTGTCTAGTCCTGAGTGCTGACTTAATTCTGTTGACCATTTTGCAAGATGGCCATCAAACTACGAGGCTCACCATCATGGTCCACTTTGATGGATATGTGTACAAAGCAAATGCGATACAGATTTTTGATAGTTATTGTGATGTAGGCAAGTGTTAATGACTAGTTATTCAATTTCATGACTATTAATCAGGGGCTGCAAATTAATTGCTTCTCTAGACAAGGCACAATTGCTTTTGTACGACAGCGCACTGAGCAGACCCACTCAGTGCTAAGTCAAGATGCAGAAGACCGGTGAGCAGTGGTATGTGCAGTATGCAGAAAGGTGATACCGAAAATTCTTGACAAAAAT